ATTTAAATTTATATGAATATGTTAAGCTATTAGTTACATTTTTACTTAGTAATAATTAATTAAAATGTCTCAACAGTTACTTTTTACGATGTTTTGCATGTTTTCGGCAATCAGTAGTAAAAAAATTAAAAAAATAAATATCATGTTGAGGGTAATGAAATTGTTCGGAATTTAATGGCGAATCCGAATATAACATTCTCTTTGCTAACAAAAAAACAATAACCGAGCAAATGAGATAATCCCGACATGATGTCACCTTAACCCTGCCCCCTAGCAGGGTTAAGTTGAAGTCCAAAACCATTGTTATTTACGCCCGAGATTATCCAGTTTGCGCTAGACCATGACTCGTGAACCCGACATTTGGCCCGGGGTTTTCTCTAATTGAACCCGTGAAGCCGACTTTTTGCGCTCGGGTTTATCCCTGTCATGATTGGGTGAAGTTTATCTGTCTGCGCCCGAGCGCGGGTAACCTCGTACTCATGAAGCTGGCTATAACTGGATTTTGGGCTCGAACTAGGGATAACCCGTGACTCGTGAACCGCCTCCGCGTGGGTCCTGGTGATGCAGAGTTGGGCCTAACCTCGGATATTGAAGGTAAGGAGAATTTTCAGTTATCCTTTGTGAATGTACAGAACCTAAGGACAAAATTCAATTTGGTCTCTCTATTTGTAGAAAATACACAACCAGATGTGTTATGTCTAAGCGAGCACCACTTAGATAGCCTAGAAGCTGACTATTATAATAATATTGGAAAATTGAAGTTAGCAAATAGTTATTTCCGCTCGAACCATAAAAATGGCGGTGCGTCTATCTTATCTGCCTTAGGGAGGATTTTCTTTTTACTACCATAGAAACTGATGCCTACTGTATAGAGCTTGATATTGAACTTTCCGCCATTAAGGTAACAAGTCTAGAAATTGACTTAATCATATTCTCTGTGTACCGCTCTCCTGACGGTAGCAAAGAAAACTTTTTTCACTTTCTGGACAAGTGCTTAGCCAACCTAAACAAACTAGGTTTGCCCATCATCCTGGGAGGAGATGTTAACATACGTCTGAACGACAACAACAATGATTTTAATATGTTTAATTGTTTGCTCCAAAGCCATGGACTCTACATTGCAAACCGAGCGCCCACTCGAGGAAGGAACAGCTTGGATACCATCGCAACTTCGCTGGACTCGTGGGACTACAACATCCTGGTCATCAACCCGATCATTGCGGACCATGACGCCCTGGTAATGAATCTGAAACTGGGAACTTCGGTGAGTAGAACACCTACTTTACCTTGGCACATTAACTATGTTAAATCATTTAGAAAATTAAGTAATGACATTTTACCCATGTTTAGAGCAGCTTTAGCCTGTGTTGACTGGTTTGACATAATAAGTGACATTTCAGACCATCCAAATGACTTGTTCAACAGGTTTTTTAACAGAATTTCAGAAATTTACGATCAGTTTTTTCCTGTTTGCACCTCGAAGATAGTTTCTAATCACTGCCACCCGGTGGACAAAGTCAAACCTAGGCCTAAGTCTAAAGATTCTAGTAATGCAAACACCTGGTACACTCCAAGACTAAGCCAACTTAGACATCTAGTCCTAGCTCTAAATGACCAGAGCAAGTTGTGTAGTAATGAAACTGACAAAATCAGGTTCCATAACTATTATCTGAGAACAAAGGCTATTTATAGACAGGAAGTCGAAAAAGCAAAAAAGGAAGCAAATATTCTCTTAATAACTAACTCTAGCAATCCATGCAAGGCGGCCTGGAATCTTGTAAATGGTGTGGCAAAGTCCAGAAAAAAAACAAAAAGTAGGCCTAGAGAAAGTCCAGATGAGTTTAACCAGTTTCTACTGAATGAAGTTGATAGGCTAGTTACCTCTATTCCTGATAGCGATAAAACTATGGCAGAAATATGTGGGCCTATACAAAATTTGGGTAAGGAGAATGTGAAATTGGATAGGTGGGTTCCCGTTGGTCCTCAGAAACTTGTTCGGCTGGTCAATAAATTTAAGAACAAGAAATCCCTCGACATCTATGGCATGAGCGTGAATGTGCTTAAATGCATAATTGAAGTTATCGCTTATCCTCTTAGCATTGTACTAAATAGGTGCCTGCAGGAGGGCTGTTTTCCTGATGCCCTAAAGCTATCCAGGACAGTTCCCGTATTCAAGAAAGGGGACCCCGAATCAATGAAGAGTTACCGACCAATGTCTATTATCCCAGTTCTGGCAAAGGTGTTCGAGGCAACCATGAAAATTCAACTTGTGAGCTACTTTGAAAGTAACAGGCTTTTTTGTAAATGCCCAACATGGTTTTAGGTGTGGCAAATCCACTGCCACGGCTGTTGCCCAGCTTGTAACTGAGGTCCTAAACGCTTTCGAGGCTAATGAATCTCTGGCTCTGGCTCTCGCGGACCTAAGCAAAGCTTTCGACTGCGTCCCTCATGCCCTGCTTGTCGAAAAACTGAAAGCTTACGGAGTCTGTGGTGAGGTGCTTTCCACTTTCGCATCCTACCTGGCAGGTAGGAAACAAATTCTCACCCTGAATGGAGTCAACTCTTCCCCCCAACCCGTCAACCATGGAGTGCCCCAAGGTTCGGTCATTGGACCGGTTCTCTTCTTGGTCTTGATTAACGACCTAAAGATTCTAAAGGTCAGGTGTGCAGGGAGACATACTTCTATTCGCAGACAATACCACCTTTTTTGCAAGAGGCAAAACACCTGACTTGGCCCAGGAATCGGTAACAGGAAAATTTGTTGTGGCCAAACAGTGGTTCCTCGACAATAAGCTGAGCTTAAACGAAGATAAGACACAAGAAATTGTATGTAGCCTCAGTTTAAGCCAATCATCAACTTCTCCGGAAGTTAAGTTACTGGGTTTTACCCTGGATGCTAAATTAAGCTGGAACAGTCACACGGCTAACATCTGCCTAAAACTAGCAAAAGTAACACGTCTCCTCAGGTGCCTAAAGCCTCTACTATCTAAGGAGCACCTATTAATGATATATTATGCACTGTTTCACAGTCATGTTATGTATGGGCTTCAGCTGTGGGTACACGCATCGGGATGCAATAATATCCTACTCGAGCAGAAAAAAGCCTTGAGAATCATAGACTCGGCTGGTTTTCTCGACCACTGAAAACCTTTATTTGCAAAACTAGAAGTCTGCACCGTGTTTAGCCAATACATTCTACTTAGCCTACTTTATGTCAGGGAAAACCTATCTTTAGGGTGCGTTTACAAAGAAAGCTGGTTACAAGTAACTTACTTTCAGCGCTTGTTCCAAGCGCTTGAGAATGCTGTTGTGTGTTCACAACAAACGCTTGCATTTCAAGCTCAGTGTAGTCTCAGCTCAGATCTGGTTGAGACAATATCTTCCTCAAGTGATGAAGAGTTATTTTTTATTGAAAATGTAGAATTAAAAGGATGTAGAATTAGGAAGGTGTTCATGCAATTAACAGCAGAAGTTAATCACGTTTAATTACATCCTCAAGAAAATTTAAAGTTTTTTAGTGAAGTTTTGGGGGGATTGGTATAAGCAACCTATCCATGTACCAGAACAAATTTTGGACCAATAATAAAACCTAAAAAATACTTGAAGGGAGTTTAAAAACCCCTATGTAGCTGATTAATTATTATGAAAATAATATTGTCAGATATATTCAAATGTTTTAATTTTCTAGTTAAATAAAGTAAAAGTATACAAGTTTCATCTATAAAAAAGCCAACACAACACTGAATTAATATTGAATTAAATGTGTTTGTCTATCATCTTAATACATATAAAATTATATATTTATCCTATTGGTTATGTTATTGAACATTCTAGGAAAAAACCACAATATGTGGGTAATACATTTGTTTGGAAATTGGAAGCTCTAAATACTTGAAGTATCAACTCATTGACATCCATACTGCACTGTTGGTAGTTTGTTAACTGACTGGTTCGGTCAACAAGCGCCGGAAAACAAGTACGAAACGTTCTTGCGTGCTTGTCAAGAGCTTGTAACAAGCGCTTGCTAGCCGGCACAAGCTTTGTCTGTGAACACACACGCTTGATACTATGTTAACTTTTCTCACGCCGGTTCGAGCTTGTAAGCGCTTGCCAACAAGCGCTTGTAACAAGCTTTCTTTGTGAACGCACCCTTACTTACTATGAGAGGGGACCTGCACCCGTATAACACCCGAGGGAGGGAAAAGATTGATATCCCTTATTGTAGGCTAAGTAGAAAGAAGTAATGCTTCCCAGTCCTGGCAATAATACTTTTCAACACGCTCCCAACTAGTGTGAGAAATCTGGAGGTCGGGAAGTTCAAGACTCGGTAGAGCGATGGTTGAGGAAAAATCCTTTCTACTCCATTGAGGAATATTATAAAGCAGATACCCAAAATATCTAAGGCCTAGCTCGGTAAAGACCTGCCGCCAAACACACAACCCAATATATGTAAATAGTGTACAGTTTTTAAATAATTTATATTTTGTTGTACAGTCCTAAATATTAGTTTTAAAAGTATTACTGATGCCATCTATCCAGTATCACTGGTCAAGGATGAAGGGAAGAAGTATGAAGTAGCTGCCCTCAAAATAACCAATTTTGGGCTTTCGGACAAAATTTTTATACCAACAAAAAAGCACAATTTTATGCTATATAGAGATGTGCTGAGTTTGGTTTTCCTGATGTAACCCATTAAAAAGTTAATAGGGGTCTCCAGACTTTTGATAAACCCTGTATAACATTACATGTTTATGTTTGACAATTGTGAGGTTTGAACTAGTGAAACTCTGATTTTTGGGATTGTATAGGCTGGGATTGTGCATCCTCTATGTGTGACGTCAACATGGCTTTGATCATCATTCCATAATAAACCAGCGCTTGCAATGCTCAACTTGTTTCTAACTTTTAAATTCATTCGTAGGTAGGCCTATACTGTTGATGCTACCAAGATCTTTAAAAATGTACTATTTCTGGAACAATAGAACTACTACTGAACTTACATTTTTATAGCGCAAGTAAAATGTTCCAAGCATATGTAGAGTCACTTGGTTTTCTGAAATTTCCAGAGACTTGACGAGGCAATCAAGAGCCAGATCGTAGTCAGCATACTTCTTGTTCAAATTCATAATACCATATCCTATTCTTCGCAGAGCTGCTGGACTCTCTGGGCTCATAGCCAGTGCTTCTCTATAATAATACAAGATAGAAATCAGTGCAGTCTAAGTTCTGAATAGTCTTTGCATGATTTAAATTAATTTTGGACGGTCATTGTTTATTTTAAAAGAGCAACAGCTATATTGTTTTGCATAAAAAATGTTTTTTCTACCACTTCATGGAAATTATCACATTGCCACACCTGTAAATAATAAGCAAAACATCTGCTTTATTCATTCTTGCTTGTGTTTGCAGGCGGGAATTACTATTCCTGCTTGCTAAATCAGCTGATTTCACTGTTGGTGTTTCTTTCAATAAACACTAACATCATGTAAGCAAAACACATCTAAAAAAGGCAAATATAACCTAAATTACATTTTAGATACTACCATTGACTATTAGATACTGAAGACAACTAAAAAGTTATTTAATATATATATAGCCTAGTAATATACGAGGCATGTTTTTTAAGTAGTACCGTTTTTAAAATTCTCCGTTCCAGCACTGCGATTGGCATTTTTGACATTTGCGCTGTGTATGGGCATCTATCGGTAAGACCTAGCCGAAAAATTTGAGAACAATTGGCCGTGTTTACATCCGGTTTCGAGCATTCAAAATGGTGCCGCCAATTGAGACTGCCGCCGACTGTGAAGTGCGTGCTGTAATTATTAGATTTTTAAGTGCTTAAGGTGTGAAAGCCATTGAAAATCATCGACAGATTAGTGAAGTGCATGGCGAGAACATTATGAGTTCCATAATGGTGCGCAAGTGGATAAGGGCATTTAAATACGACCCCACCAACGTTCATGATGAGTAACGCAATGGGCGGCGTCATTACTGTCCCCGTACCCAGTGCGATGCTCATCATGAACGTTGATGGGGTAGTCTTAAAATGCCTTTACCTACTTGCGTACCATTCCGTCACTCATAATGGTCTCACCATACATTTAAACTAATCTTTCGATGATATTCAATAGCTTTCACACCTTTAGCACTTAAAAATCTAATTACAGCGCGCACGTCACAGTCGGCGGTAGTCTCAATTGGTGGCACTATTTTGAATCCTCGAAACCGGATGTAAACACGGCCGATTGTTCTCGAATTTCCGGCTAGGTCTTACCAATAAATGCCATAAACAACGCAAATGTCGAAAATGCCAATAGCAGTGCTGGAACGGAGATATTTAAAAACAGTACTTACTTAAAAAACATGCCTTTGTAAAGTTAATTATGGTGGTACAGGCTGGACCAAAGTTCTAGGCGTCTGGCGGACGCATGCGCATTAATTTGCTGTGTTAATTCCCCATCTGTTAAAACTTGGGCTAACATATGATTAAATGCAAATTCGTTACTACGCATGCGTCAGCGAGACGCCTAGAACTATGGTCCGGCCTGTAGGAAAAATGTTATGTACTAATGATAATTAAAATGGGATGTATTACAAGCACAGTCATTGCTGCTCTTTAAATATATCTACAGTTCTCGAGTGGCAATGACATACTATGTGCTCTTAATACCGGTGCTTTCAAAAAGTTGTAGCTGTCTCAGTTTCAGCATTTCGTTGTGTAAAGTAGGTTGCGTAGTGGAAGCAGTTTTCTGCTACTTCTTGCATTCAGTAGGTCCAATATACAACAAACCGCTGATCAGGGCCTTACCCTTACCCTCTCTTTGTAGCTAAATTATGAAATGGTGGCATAGTTTTCCAAGTAACACACTCACACAACACTTCTACCCGGGAGTCCAGTGACGGCTGGCCAAGGTAAGGCCGTTCTCCTCTCTTACTTTTTACTTGATAATTGTGGACTTAAAGAGCACAGATAGTCTTGGAATAGAGTTAGACACCTTAATACTTCTAATTCTCATACTTCTAAAATCAGACTTTAATACACAGAGTAATTAAAAAAAACTATATATTTGATACATAGGCCTAGACCAATTTCTAATGCCCTTATGAGGCAATACTTAATTTGAGAATACAGTGTTAACATAAACCTTAACATTTGCTTTTACAGTTGAAGCATTTTAAATGTGGTTTATTATATTTTTTTAACTCCATTGTCAGAATTCCTACACTTGATGCAATCTCCTTTGAGGGATTGGAAATTATTGAGGTTATTAATTTTACTACAGCTTATAGAGGAGTAGTTTGGTTTTATTTTGTGAATTTTTAAACATGTAGCCTACCTATAGAAAAACTATGTTGTATAGTGGCTGCTCTCTATTTTTGATGATTCAATGTTTATTGCTATTTCAATTGCTTTTCTAAAAGTTAATTTATTGGATTGTTATAGAAGTTTTTTAGTACCCATCTACGGACCGTTGTTTTGTGACGTGCGGCTACAATACAAGAACGTGTAGTGCCTACAAACCGACCACGGCAACCCCTGCAGGACTTCTGGCCCGGACTGTACTTTGGACTTATTGAATTTTGGACTTAGTGAAACGCTCTGCTAATTTAAATATTATACATTTGGACTTAGTGAAATTTGGACATTGTGAAACAAAGTTTATTTAACATTTGGTTTTTAGGACTTAATGAAATTTGGAGGTTGTGAATTGCTATGTTTATTTAATATTTTACTTTTAGACTTAGTGAAACTTGGACTTAATGAACCTCGCCCTTTTGTCCTTCCCATTCATTGTTCTTATTATTATATCTCTGTTCTGTTATTATAATATTTCTATAGTTGTTTAAATGTTTGGGTTAATAATATAAAATAATATTTTCTATAATCAAATCTCGAGTACCTTCATTGTGTTTGTGTTCAATGTCCGGCCATGGCGGTTTGCGAACTCGTTTGAATAAGCAAAAGTTAACATGTTAGCAATAAATTTAATCAAAATTGGACAATTTTTACTCGAGTTATTGTGCTAACGGACATATATAAATATATATGTACAAGGAGACCCATGCACAAATTGCACATTCTGGCAAACGGCCAAAGTGACAAGTACCTAATATTTGACTTATCATTGCTTAGGGGTGAGGATTGGCAAATAGTATTGAGAAAGGTATGAAACACGGCGGTGGTGTGAGATTTCAACTAACTTAGCTGTCAATGCAGCTTATTGGAGACAGCCATACTAAACGAATTATGATTATCAATCAAATATTAAGGTTTAGTTAGTCTTATTATTTTAATATTATGACCTGCTTACTTGTAATATTTCAATGCTTGTTGTGACAGTTTGTCAATTTCTGGCTTGAGGCTGTCAAAGTTTTGGAAGGTCCTATATTTCTTAGCAGCTTGAGTGGCACACTCTCTATATACTTGGGCAAGATAGACAATATATTTTGGGTTCTTCTCTTCAGACACTGCACTCTCTAACAGTTTCACCTCATCTTTTGGAACCTCAATAGAAAATAAGGCATCTCTTCGCTGCTGACCTTCAATGAAAATAAAACTTGATAACAAACTAGTGCTCGAATTCGGTCCTAAATAAATGGCTAATTTTTAACTTAAGTGTAACTCTAAAGATTGTATGTAATTCATTAATTTAATTATTTATATTTTAACTAAGTTTTGTCTTATCTTAACATAACATCCAAATTAAACAGGTTGTTAAGTACCAAATTTGAAGGGGGATAAAAACGTATCGTGATCGTAAGAAAACAAACACTAGGACTTACATGCACAATAGTCCACATCTAGGTCTATAAAGAAACGTAGGCATAGGATCATACTATTGCTTGTTGACAAGGCATGACAGCTAGCCAACAGACCAATTTTCAATCAGCTAGTAAGTAATTCACTTCAAGGAGCGCAAGCAAAGATTAACTAGAGAACCAAAGGACAAGATTACATGACCGCTGTCAACAGGTGAACATTGTATCCACGCCACTACGATTCCTACACGCTGATCCGTCTGCGTCTAAGGGTTCCTCGGATCATCCTTCTCGCTCCCCTATCTTGCCCAATAGAGGGCTCAGCTGATACTTAACAGCTGTTTTTGCTGCCTTGAAAAAAGCTGGTTGATATCTGTCAGTTATGAAGCCGGCCGCTGTCGTCTGCAACTGACAAATCGTCAGTGGCTTGTTGGCTTAAGGCTATGTTGTGTTTAGTTCACACGACAATGAGTTTTAGGTTTGAGTTGTCAGTTTATATTATTCACATCGCATTTCCTCACGTCTTTGAGATGGATTATCGGCCTAAGGCCGTTATCTGCGGGTTTACCAAGTGTAGAAAGTGTTGTCAAAGTACTAACCCGGGTTAAGCCCCTTATGTGTTTACTTTAGAACGCAGGTGCTTTAATCAGCGACAAAAAGTAAACACAATAAAACGATCCTTATGGTTGTTATGTTGTGGTAAATTGTAACATGGCTTTACATTATTATTTGATTATTCATATTAAAAGGGATGGAGGGGGGCGCAACTAACTCTCAGACCCACATGCTAACCGCAGGCCTGGCGGTAGCTACATGTAACTGGGTTAGGATCTTGGACCCTCTACCCCAGAGGACATTCTAGAAAAGTTAGGTAAAATTCTAAAAAAACACTTTTGATAGCTCCACTTCTGTGGTTATGACAAAATCCTGAATATCACTCAGCGGTAATTGTTTTTTTGTCCTAGGACGCTAGGTACAAGCCCGGAATTGTTTTTCACATTACTTCAGGCTAGACCTAGGGTTTACGGCATTATAAATTGAATAAAATTCATTGGTGATTTGGCGGGATTTGAATCCGGGACCCCAGGAACTGGAGTCCCACGCTCTAACCACTAGACCAGCTCGCTCCCCACTTAAGAAACATCATAATCATCCTTATCGTCTCCCGCGATTGCGGCAAAATGTTGATCATCTCCCACGCTCATGTGAACATCGTCATCTTCTGCGACTGCACCATAATTCTGATAATTTCTCTTGGTTTTGTGGAAATAATTGTCTTCCACGATCTAGGCAATATTCTGATCATCCATCGCAGCTGTGTGGACATCATTATCGGCTCCCGCTGTCGTTGTGAGTACATCTTCATCGTCACCCGTGACTGCGGCATAATTCTGATCATTTACTACGGTCTTGTGATCATAATCATCGTCTTCAGCAATCAATTGCATGATAATCGTCTCCCGCGGTTGTATAGACATCAAAATCGACAGCCACGATCTTGGCAACATTCTGATAATTTCCTGCGGTTGTGTGGACATCATCATTGTCTCTTGCAGTCACAGTAGCAAAATCCTGAATATACCCACAGTAATGGAAACATCATTCCCCTCTTCTGTGATTGTGGCAAAATCATTAATATATCCGGTGGCCGTGTGTGAAATTATTATGACCTCCTGCAGTTACAGAAACATCATCATCGTCATGCACGATCGCAGTTAAATTGAAAATTTTGTCAGAAATACAAAATTCACACATAATTCCCGGGTTTTTTCTAATAAAAAAAATCACAATTCCCGGTTCTCCCAGTTGGTAGACACCCTGAAGAATTTTGATTCTGTAACATTACTTCTAAGTATGTTTGCTAATATAGCCACTAACTTGGATAAAAAATCTAGTTTTAAAATAAAGATGAGAAATAAAATAGGTCTACCATGTCCAAAAACTTGTTTAAACAGAATGGCATGAAATGAAGAGTGGATATTAGATATTATAAACACTAACTTACGTAACATCTTTGCCAGTAAGTACTTATATCTCGCATCATCAGGCTGCAATTCCAATGCTTCACGAGCGTATTCGACTCCAACTGCTTCTCCATTCTCATAACCAGAATAAAGGAAAAATCTGGCTTTCATTGCGCTCAAAGTCGCTTTATCAATATCTGTCATTATTTTTACTGGTATTATACAATTGCCAATCTGAAAGTAAAAATAGGTTACACACCATTGCTAATTAAAGTTACAGTAAGGGTATTTTTACGAGGGAGCACATTTATGCAGTGAACAAGAATAAGTTATGTATCCATTTCCTGCTTTCTCTATGTAGTTTACAACCTCCTAGCACAACAGCTTGTATGAATATTACCAAATATTCGAGATCACTTCTGTATAATTTAATATACGAGGGCTATCCAGAAAGGGACAGACATTTTTGGCCTGGCGCAGCAGTGGGCGGGGCTAGGACCGTCATCTTGGCGTCAGAGTGTTCCTACACTCAGTACACAACCAGCCGTGGTAGCTAGAGTATCGTGACTTCTGTACTTTGTATGCAGTTGAGTTTTGAAATGAGCGCTACATTTGTAAATCTCACCAGTTGTGACGTGTGTGGTGTGTGATAAGGTTTTTGCTGGCGAAAAATTACAAACCTATTAAAATTTATTGCCATATTTGTGATGTGTACGGCCAAGGAATAAGGTGTGTTTTTGGCAGGAAATAAGCAAGATTCTATAGCCTATAATTCATCTAGGCCCTGTCCTTGTGTTTACTATTTTATTGGTAGATATTTATAGGAAAACTAGTGGCCTGTAGGGACATAAGTCCCTAAAAAGCTCAATAATATAAAACAAATTATTCTAATATTTAAACAAACCAAAAAATATTTTATCTATGTGTAAGAATTTGTATAATGTGAGTTTTAGTTTACAATTTGAAAGTACTTATTATATAATGTATTTGGATTAGTCCAAAAAATATAGATTTTTGTCTTCTAAGGAAAGAATTTAATGCACATATTTTTACAAATTTAGAGTAACAATGTTTGCACCATTTGTTAGACTATCTATTCCATAAATCCTTATTGTTTTTCTCAGTGATAGCTACTGTATTTCCTCACTAATTGATTAAGGAATTCCCTGTTTTAAAGTTGATGCCAGTTTGTGCCAATTGTAAATTAGGTACTGATTTATGTTCAATACAGCCTGTTTTTAACCAATTCAAAATTATAGGACCACTTATGGTTAGCCAACATATTTTATGTCACATAAACTATCTCAGTAACAAAAACTAAGAAATGAAATACAACAAATTTAGCAGCAGCGCTTTTGTGAGTAGCTCATTCAAAGATGTTTGTTTTTAGACCCTGCCGCAGCAAAACTGCAGCGAATTTTTATTATTGCCAAATATGATTTTCAATTAATTCTTTTAAATGGAATTTTAAATTTACAATTTTTAGAATTTTCTTCGTAACCAATATGCATAAAAAAACTCGAATACACTAAATTGTTTGTTTTTTAAGGTCTTCAAAATGGTCTAGGAAGAATTGGGAAATGTTGGGTTTTTGGGTAAAAAATGAGAAAACCCAATTTTTACCCCATAAACACCCTGTTCACATGGTCCAATCGTGAAATAAAAATCCTTTACTTCATCAGACAAAGTTTTTGCTAGTTTGCGAGCTAATTCAAGTCCATCCGGCTCTATCCCTTCAAGCCAAATTTCATTGAAATCGGACTAAAATTACTCAAGCTATCACGTTCACAGACACATATATTACTACTATACACATATAACAGCATATTTATATAAAATGTTTGATGGATTTTTGTATTGAAACTTTAAAGTGGACCTAAATAATGACCATAATCCTAAATTCTAGTTGAATCACAGAAGGGAAGATTATTGCTCTGGTAATTTTGTTTTTATCTTCTTGGTTCAGCAACCTCCACCATTTTTTAGATCCAAGGTTTCAGGTTCTTCTTCAGACTTGGGTATTTTAAGTAGACTCTCTCCATTTACAGTAATTTTCAATTTTTATTGCCTTTGAGTGCTTAATTTTGCCTTTGCTGTGAGATTACTAAAGCAATACTCCTCTCTTCTGTGATTCAACTAGAATTTAGGATCATGACCATTATTTAGGTCCACCTTAAAATTTCAAAACAAAAATCCATTACAAATTATAATCTTTATATACAGTGAAACTTGGGTGATTCAAACCTCAAGGAACTAGTTAAAAACTTTTAATCATCCAAAAATTTGAATAAAGAAGTCTTTAATAAATAGGGCTTAATCAATAAAACTTGATATTTTCAATCAAAACTCTGTATTTACAGGGTGGTATCCACCAGACCAACAAGAAAAAATTCATGAGTAATTCTAGGTAATTCAGGTTGTAATTTTCATACTAAATTTTCCAACGTGTTTTTGCGCCAACTCTCGCAATGCTGTTTTAGCGCTAGCACAGTTCGCTATTTTAGTTATCGGAAAAAGCATTCTCAGTTAAAGAAACAAAATTTATGATTACTGTAATATTGCCTGACAAAAGTTTGCAATTTTTATATATTACTGATTAAATAATCAGAAAATTAAAAACTAATCCTTAAACCTGCAATTTATTAATAACTTCTTAAAAATAGTGATATGTCGATAACAAAATTTATCGAATCTCTGTACCGATACCTGAAAAATAGATTCATAATACAGATAATTTTAAATTGACTAAATTTTCTGTTAGGTTTACTACACCAACTTGTCTTTATGTACTTTCATATAGTAGTGTAATTTGGGAGTTATGGGTTTTTTACAAGTGGCCTACAGAAATAATTAATGCAGAAATTCACATAGCCAATTTAGGTTTTAAACCCTTCAAAACACATTAAATAAATACAACGTTAAAGGTAAATTAAGATATTACAAAAAATATATAAATAAAACTTTGTAGAAGTGGGCTATTTTGAAATTTTTGGCCAAGCCGAACGCGAGGTTATATCGTGATCATCTACCACTGTCATAGAGACACCCTCATCGTCTTCTGCGATAACTGAAAAATCCTGAATATCTCCCTCAGTAACGGAAACATCACCACTGTCTTCTGTGGTCGTGACAAAATCCTGATATTGTTCAGCGGTAACGGAAACGTTATAATCACCTTCTGCGATTACAGAAAAGTTATAATCAATTCTTCTAACAAATCACGCGGCCAATTGGTCATCATCATCGTCTCTCGCAGTCACAGAAACATCATTGTCATCTCCCGCGGTCACGGAAACGTCGTCGTCGTCTCCCGCGTCACAAAAAACGTCATCATCGTCTCCCAAGGTCATGGAAACATCATCATCGTCATGCACAATCGCGGCAAAATCACTAAAAACTCCAGCGACCGATTAGAGTTTGGACATCATCATCATCTTTCATGGTCAGAGAAACGTCATCATCGTCATGCGCAATCGCGGCAAAATCACTAACAAATCCCACGGCCGTTTGGACATCATCATCGTCTCCCACGGAGCAAAATCTGAACTGATGTATACTACAGTACCAACTTAACTCGTACTCGTACAGTATAGGTTATAACAGTAGAAAATGCCATAGCATAATACAGTACTGTATTAAAATGGAAACATAATAATCAGAGATTAAAACACATTGAATACTGTATTGCCCAACAGAATATTAAACAATGAACATAAATAAACCTGGAATGGTACTGTGCTGTATTTACTGTAACTGCAACCATAAAAAATTATCTATTGTTTTAAAACAAAGATGATATTTTGGCCTGTTTCCTCGAATTAAGTCTCTCGGCCATTATGTAAGATTCCAACACATTCAAAGAGTTGAAGTATGAATCAGTTACATTAATTCAGCGTTAAAAAAACGTCTAAGTTCTTGTACGTTATTCATGGCGTCAGCTGCACTCGGCACCGGTACTTCCTCTGCTGATGAACCAGCGATCTCATCTCCCGAACCGTGTCCTTTGTCGTCTTGCTTCTCGCTGTTGAGCACCTCTGCGATGATTTCGGCATCCGTTATTTCCCCACATACAGCAACAATCTTCATTGACATTGAGGAAGTCTTCGTACGAGATGGTCAGGTCGGGTACCACATCCTCCCAGCCGTGGACTAAAGGAACAGCTTCTGCTTCTGCTTCTACACTTTCTTCATTGGTTTGAACAAAACCTGCTTTTTTAAAAGTTTTTAATAGTTTCTGGCTTCACTTTGTCCCACGCTTGTTTGGACATTCGGGAGGCTTGCAGAATATCCACCTTTACTCTTAGAGCGTTTCCATGTCTGGAAAAGATATTTTCTACCAACAAACCTATGTAGAAGTGTTTCAAGTATTTTTATAATTCCTTGATCCATTGGCTGGACGTCATATTGGGTGGAAAAAAACCACTTTCACATTATCCATTATAGGTATGGTGTTATGGACTGTGCAGTTGTCGATGAAGAGGACAATATTTAGCTTTTTTTTTTAATAAACTTCTTGTCCAACTTAAGTCAGCCTTTTTGAATAAATGTCACTTGTCATCCAAGTGTTTGAGCTGTTAATATAATCCGGTTTTGACTGGACATTTTTAAAACAACGGTGATTAGCAGATTTCCCATCATCAACAAAGGCAGCTTTTCCGAGCTGTCCATATTTGCTCCAACCAAAAACGTAGCTCTTTCCTTACTTAGTTTTCCTCTGTGGCATTTTTTGTCTTTAAATGCCAGAGTCTTGTCCGGCGTGCATTTAAAAAAAAGGCCAGTTTCATCAGCGTTGAAAATATTTCCCGATAAATTTACAATTATTTTTAGTCCCAGCATAAAATTTATACCTTAATAAGCACGCCAAAAATTCGAATTATCCAAAATTTTTTAGTATTATTTAAATACAAAATGCTAGGGACCAAGAGAAATTATTGAATTAAGGAAGATTTCGAATTAAAGAAGTTCAAATTATCCAGGTTCCATTGTAAATATATATGTCCGTGAACACGATTAACTTGGGTAATTTTTGTCCGATTTTGATGAAATCTGGTTTAAAGGTGTAAGGCGGGATAAACTTGACTGATTTCACAAACCAGCGTCATCGGCCCATGGGAACGGGATTTTATAAGTGGTCTTATAGGGTGAAAATTGTTTTTCTCATTTTTGACTCTCAAAATGCAAAATTGCCCAATTGAGGAAATTTTGAGCTTAAAAAAGCAAATAATATAGTATATCAAAGTGTTTTTGTACAGTTACTAGTTATAGAAAAAATTCAAAAAAATTGTAAAAATTTAAAATTTGAATGTTATTCTCTTGGAGAATATTGTAAAATGTTATAAGTTTGTTCGTTTATGGATATATTTTGATCAAAGTTGGAATTTTTTTTATTTTATACAAAGTTATTATTATTTTAAAAAAACACACTTTATTAGCCTTCCTGTAGCAGTAAACCTAGGTACTCTTTAAACCTAATGTTATTGAAATAGATTTAATTAAAAATCAATTAAGGCGAATGAAAATTCACTTAGTCTACAGGTTTATTGCGGCAGGGGTATTTTAAATTACAATTTAATTAAGTTTTAAAACTTCGCCTGTGTAGGCCTACTACAAAACGTTTAGGCCTGTGAACAATTGAACCAGGGTTTGGACCATTCCCTCATATAAAGTGCTCAATACCCCCGCCGCAGCAAACCTGCAGACTAAGCAAATTTCCATTTGACTGATTTGATTTACACTGAAATGTCTACTTAAAAATATAACATTTATTCCCGATTTAAATAGAATTAGTTTAGGTTTGCTGCATCAGGGAGGGTAAAACTGTTTTTGTTTTTGTTTTTTTTTTTTGTAAAATGTTAATAATTAGTAAGAAATAAAAACATTTTCCAAATTTGATCAAAATATGTTCATAAACAAGCAAACTACAACAGTTTACTTATTCTCCATAAGAATAACATGGGAATTTTAAATTTACAATTTTTTGGAATTTTCTCCGTAACCATTAGGCGCATAATAACGCTTCAATATACTAAATTATTTGTTTTTTTAAGATCTACAAAATGGTTTGGAAAGAAATTGCTAAATTTTATGTTTTTTGGGTCAAAAATGGGAAAACCCTATTATTACCCCATAAAACCCCCCGTAAACCCCCGTTCCCATGGTCTGATCATGCTGGATCGCGAACTCGTTCGAATAAACGTAGGTTTACACGTTTGTTCCAAATTTCATCAAAATCGGACCATTTTTGCTCGAGTTATCGTGCTAACGGACACATATATATATATAAAAATGTATAAATGCATTATTAAAAACTAAGTACCCTTTAAAAATACCTACAAAAAAGGGTACTTAGTTTTTAATAATGCATTTATACATCATAATAGTAGCCCTAATCACTACAGTTTTCTTAATACATATAAATATATATATATATATATATATATATATATGAATTTGAACGGATGGTGTTTTTGGCCTCTAGGGACCTCAAAACGAAAAAAAAAAATCGGTCCCGCGTCCAGGTCTTACCATGAGTACTACGGTAATAGCTTATTCCCTATATGGGAAATTCGCTAAAAAGGAAATGTGGCATCGAAACATAAATTAGAAAGTATGCTACACCCCACAAGCCATATAAATTCCATATACTTACATAACAACATCAGTCATATCACTGCTGAAGTGAATCAAACAATTGATTGAAGCTCAGTTACTTCAACCAGTTGGCTGCTGTGATCATAACGATGCAGTCTCTCACAGTTGAATAAAGCTGTTAACACGTTCAGTGCTGACTAACCCCCACCACATTAGTTCAGTATGAGCTCAGTCATTGCCGGGAACGTTAAAATCGTTGCTAGCCTGTAGCTGTGTAGGTTGGTACTAAAATGTCCCGTAAAATCCCGTCTGACAATGCTTTTGTCCCGGTTTCGGAGATTTTCTCTCTTCAAGCCATATTACAAAGCCACTGACTACTGATCCAGGCAGTGCTGCTACCTTTGGGTGTTTTAGGGAACTACGTCCAATCTCGGGGTAACGTAGTACAATCGCCGCTGCTCTTTTGTTATTTGTCAGATTGAAATATTTGAATGCCAATTGTGTTTGCTGTTACGGTACCGCGCCGGGGCTTTGCCCGGGACTCGCCGCTATTGGCGAGTGCCTGTTGTTGGAATGCCTGCCGCACTGAACATGTTAAGCTGTTATATGAAAAAAATTCTTGTGGTAGAGTTATATCAGTTGCTGTAAACATTCAAACAAAGGGGTCCAAAAATCAGATAAATTAATTATAATGATATTACTAACAGTACTTTGTAAACTAATTAATTTATCTCACCTTTTTAGACTCTTCTTCTTTACCAAGAATGTAAAGAACATGCGCCTTTGTAGCTGATACTACATGGCCGAGTGAAAGTTTTACTTTTTGGTAACAAGGTTCATTTCTTGAAATCTCTTCCTCAAGACACCCATCAATTATTTCCATGTTTTTACAACAGTTATCAATATCACCAGTTATGTAGTATTCAAGTACCAATTTCAGGAGTGATACAAACCTGAAGTATAAAACAACTTTATTTTTAGACATTCAAGTTATGGTGCTTTGTATAGTTGTTTCAAAGAAAATCTAAATTGCAATACCCTTATTTTAAAAAGTTGCAATCTTACTAATAGGAATGGGCACAGCTGCCAAAATCACACAACCGTTGCGGAGCGACAACCATTTAATTTTAACGTTGTCGACAACTGTTGACCTTGGCACTGGCGTTGTGTTGTGGCTGTGCACTGTTACGTTTACAACGACAACGCTTAGTAGCTCAACGGTTGTGAGTAGACGGTTGTGTTGTCGTCGACCGTTGTGAATGTCTATTTTGCATTTTGCTTTAGTTATAGAAATTATATTGCTTGTAGAAATTAAATTGACTGAAGCCTCGTAGCCTGTTGCCATAGATGGCCTACGTGTGAAACCTAGATTATATAATTTAATTAGTATCATTTAGTTTATAAAAACAAAATAGGCTAACCGTAAGTTTAAATTAAACATAAATGTCCACTGTGAACAAAAACAGTTTTAACTTCAAAAATAAAATTTAACCTGTTTATTTACAAATTTTATAGAGTAAAAATTGACATAACTTGGAGTAAATCTAAAATGAACAAGAATAAATGACAAACTTAGGATAGCATTGCATCCTATTGTAAGGTAACAATAAGAAAGAAATCAGTTTTTCAGGTAACCACGGTCTTATACAGACAACGACAACAACTTTGCCGCAAAACAGTTGAATACAACTGCCTCAGCCTGTTTTACAAAACAGTTTAGTTTAGATAACGCCCGCCTCTGGCCAGCTCACAACCACAACCGAACCGAACATTTGTTGTAGAGTGTTGCGTTTAGCAGTCTCGCAGCTGTGAACAACGACAACTTCCTGAAACAGTTGTCGACAACTGCCAACTCTCCACAACCGTTTAGTTGTGCATCGTCTGCCGCACCACAACCGTTGTGTTGTTTTCGCCCCACCTCTACTCACTAAATAGCATGCATCTCCCTAAAAAACACAACATACCATAAAAAATAAGTTAAATAGGCTACCTACAATAAGCATTGAAGTGATCCCAATCTGGGGAAACATTAAATATTACAACTGCCTTGAAACTTACCTACCTTGAAAAACATAGTGAACTAACATTTGGTAAGAAATTTTAATTTTGATAACAAATAATGTTTAGCTCTAGAAACATGGCCTACCTGTTTTTTATCCATCATCTAAAGAATAGCAAAAACTTTAGCAGGTGTTACTTGTTTCATATACCATATACAGTAGCAGGATAGATAAGTTTCTTCTGTTGGAAATACCTAGAATTAAGGGGTTATGTTGACAGTGCACGGTCCCAGCCAATCCTAAAGGAGCATCGCATTTCCCCACGGCTTTCTTTTCAAAGAACCTAAACCTCTGGCATCGCTTTCACTCTGCATCTCACCTTTCACGGTATGTCCACCATGTGCTGTCCATGTGAATTTTAAATTACAAAGTTAGGCCAGCGTACCAACAATAATGTAGTAACCTACGACACCTTACAAATGGCGACGAGGAGCTATGGTTGCAGTGTGTGTACATCGTTCATCAGCCATTCAGAACATGACATGACTTGACAGTAAAAGAAGCGCTTTAAAAGTGAAGTATAGTATTAATTAACAACTAAAAGATACGGAAAAAGAAGCTCCATTGTAAGAAACTACATGATACTACACTCAACCATGAGTAGTAGGGTGTTCTATTACGGTCATTAGGCCCACCAAGCCAAGCCTACATAAATATGTTCATGCTCATTTCTCTACAATGTCTGGAGACTCTATTGATCGGTTACAAAATGGCAGGTCTCATCGGCACCATAGGAAGTTTCTATTCTTCAGAGGAAACATGGACACAATTTGAACGTTTTGGAATATTTGTGTAAAATCTTACAACTTACTAAAAAACCTATGTTCACCTGATAAGCCTACCTCTAAAAGCTGTGCTGATCTGGTTAAGTTGGTTGAAATCATCTTTATCCAAACCCATCCTTCATTGCTGAGCGTTATAAATTTAAATGATGTACGAAAGTACCCAAAAAGAACTTGAATAGCGTTGCCATAGGCAGAGCCGACACAGTACGCGTTTCGGCTGCAAGATGTGTATAGCGCAACTCACTGCCAGTTCAGTACGGCTGCTATCGTACCACTGGCTGGTTGTGTTTGTCGGTAGTGACAGTTTTTGTTGGCACCATTATTCTAGTAGGTTGTTTTTTGCGATGGCAAATGAAAGTGTACAGCTTGCAGCTGTAGTTTTTATTTTTTTTTTATTATTTTTTATATTTGGTAAAAATACTGCTGAAACTGTTCTAATGTTGAAAAAAGCTTACAAAGATGACGCCATAGGAAAAAATCAAGTGTATGAGTGGTTTAATCATTAAAAAAATGGTGACATGTCTATTGAAGACATTGTCCTGGACATTTATCAACTGCCCAAAATTAGGAAAATTAGGAAAAAATCTGGGACCTGATGCTTGAAGACCATGGACAGATGATTGATCAAGTAGCAGAGATAACTTTCTCACAGGTCAACTTTTGAATGACATTCACTTCAACTTAGGCCTACAGGACATTCAAACGTAAAACTATTAATTTAATATAATACCGTTGTATGTAAATTTATTCAATGGCATTATCATCGTCTTTCAAAACTACTCTGTATTCCTCTAAAATTTCAAAATTGTTGGAGGTGTTTACAAAATTTAAAATGTGGTATATTTATTAAGCGTTCAGACTAACTTTCTAGTCGCTCGCCGCTGGTTTTTTGTTTCTCACCCCAACTGTCATAGCCACCAGTGGCTTCACTGTCTAATATGCTGTTTATATGGCAATAGCCCCTCATGTTTATTTTATTCTGTACTCGCTGGGTTCTACTGTATAGGCATAGACTGGAAAAAGGAACTCCAGTTAGTCACATCTATGCCTGATAAAAAAAATAATCAAAACTGATGTAAAAGATGTGCAAAGTAGCAATTTCATTATAGGGAAAGGTTTATGATAGGGTCTCCGAAAATATTTTTCAGTGAATTAAGGACATACACAGGGGGACCAGTGATACTTAAGTTGAAGTCTAATATTAAACCTAAATATTTCAAATCAAGGCCTATTTCAACCGAATATGAACTGGATGGGTTGGTAGAGACAACCGGCAGAGATCCTTATAACCATAGAAACAAAATGAATGTGAATGGGGAAAGTTACAATTTACCTATTCTACCGGTTCTTAAAAGCGATGGTACATCAAGACTGTGTGGTTACTTTTAATTGAATATATCAAAAACTCCGTCCCTGGAAGTAGACCAGTCCCAATTCAAAAAAATAAGCAATTTGTTAGCTTCATTAAAGGAGAAACTGTCTCCAAGATTGATTAGTCACAGGCCAATGCTCAGATTAAGTTTAGATGAAAAATACAAAGAGTGTTATTGTTCAACAAAAACTTCCAGAGGTTTGTTTGGAAACAATAGAATGCTTTATTGGAATTGGAAAGTCCCAGTATGTTTTAAAGGATTATTGAATAAGTCCTCAATGGTATTCCTGGCAAAGTTGTGTTTTCAGATGGTATTATAATAACTGGCAAAAATTAAAAGGAACACATAAGTAGGTTAAGAGAAATGTGTAAACGGTTAAATAAGAATGGACAAACAGTACAAAAAGAAAAATGTCAGTTTTTTTGTAAGCAAGTAGTTGCTTACAAACCTACCTAGGGTTTGGACTAACGAAGGTTTACAAACTTCTAAAAACAAATTAGAAGCAATCATAGACACACCGAAACCCACTAATGTTACTCAACTAAATTCATTAATGGGGTAGTTAGTTACTACTAAAACTTCAACAATGGTAATGCCTATGTAGGACTATCGACTTCTTAAAAAAGAAGTTTCTTTTGGATGGAACTATTAATGTAAGAAGTCTTAAACAAATTAAGGAAAGTTTAGTAACAGCTCCAATACTAGCCTTTTATGACCCAGATTTACCCTTAAGATTAACCACTGATAGTTCGTCCTATGGTATTGGTTATGTTTTAAGTCAAATTGATAAAGAACGATTCTGAAAAAATTAAGGCATAGACATATTCAATAACCTATAGAACTGACCCAAAAAACCTTTGTTACATTTTTAGGACAAAATGTACGTTTCAATTTATGTTTCAAGGGTCCAATGGTGGGCGCACTTAAGACCCTATAACCTCCCCCTCCCCTTAAGGCCCGTTTTGCCAGAAGCGTCTATCGCTGCCCTCTGCTGTGCATTGTTGTAGATTAGTCTATTTTGCCAGAAGCGTCTATCGCTACAGCCGCCAGCGTCTGTAGCTGAAAAGCTAGCATCTGACGCGGACCACTGCTTCTGGAGCAGAAGGAGACACAGTCGCTAGCGATTATTACTGGAATAAGCACGTGTTTAGTTGTTGACTTAACTTTTGTTTCCTTAAATAAGTTGTGTTTTCAAGTTTAGTGACATGTCACAATCAAAGTGGGGATTCAATAGTGAATAAGATAAAAAAAACTGAAAAACTAGATAAAACTAGTGAAACTTGGTCTCATCAGAGCGGAGGTGATTTTCAATTAACAATTTAAAAAACCCCTCTTCAGGTCTCTTTTTAAAAACATAGTAAGCACTTCTTCCCTAGGTTTGCACAACATTTCTAATATTTCTTCATCGTCTAATTCCTCAGCTAACAAATACTTTACTATTTGCTTTTTACAGCTCATTTTCAGAAATACTCCTTTTGCCACCAAAGTAAATCACTCACTGATCAAATAATCGCAAGGAACAGACGCTTCTGGCAAAATAGGCCCGAGCGATAGACGCTGGGCGATTATCACTCTAGCGATCATCGCTGAGTAAACGAAAACCCAACAAAACACAGGGGAAATGTTTTACAGGAGAATATTTTCATCCAATCCTGAGGAGCGTCGCTTCTCTGCACCTCTTTCTTTCCAAAAAAACTCAAGTCTCTGATAGCTCTCTCTTGCCATCTTACCTGCCACAGTAACTTATGTCCCTCATGCCCATGTGAATTTTAAATTACAAATTGGTACTTTACTAAAAGTTCATTATTTCCTAGCTTACTAAATGTAGCTTAATAATGTAGTGCTTACGATACACTACAGCAGGAAATTACATTAAATGAACCTACCTTTGTATAGAAAATTCTGGTTCTTCAATCAACAGATCGTCAAGTTTTTCCAAAGTTCTCATTATAACCAATTCAGAACCCAAACCTCGTTCTTGTTTTAAATGCCACACAAATGGTGTTTCACATTCTTCAAGCCAAGGCGGAATTGTCACTTTATTTTTTATTTCAAATGTATCATCGTTTTTTAAGATATTTGGCTGGGTTTTATCACCAAGGTGTATATTGTCTAAAAGAGTTGATACAGTGTCAACTGAGATTTGATTCATATTTAAAAGATTTTTACTCATTCATCATCCAATTAAATCACCACTCTCTGAAGATGTATTTATCATCCTGAAATAAAATCAAGTATTAACTCACTCAAGGTATCATGGAAGGAAAAAATAAGCTGTGGTTCGAGTAGATCTTTATCACAAGTAAGTATTTAAAGGTTGACCACCTTCATGTTGATGACATAAGTTATTGAATTGTTTAGTGAAAATCATAACAAACATGCCTGTCTGTTCAAATGCCTTCATAAATGGAGGTTGCTGGTAAACTTAGGGAAGAGCATTGATTGTCAACCATATACCTATAACATTGTCAAGAAAAAACAACAATGCTTTCACGGCAAAAACATTGATAGTGGATGTTGAAATTTATTACAAATTAACTAATTTTTGGCAGTGTTTAGAACAAGCACATCAACAATATAAATGATAGTTACAGTACCTCAGTCTCAATCTACTCTTGTCTGAGTCTAGTCCAGTTAGATATTTTTGGATTTGATATTTCATCAGCCTTTTAATGGAATTTAATACAACAGTTCAATTTCTTGTTAAGAAATGATTAACATTCAAAACTTCACTAAAACTTATACAGTTCAATTAAGAAAAACCACCAATAGGCTATTTCAATAAATGTCCAAAAACATCGGTAGGCCTAATCGATGGAAAAAATCGAAGTATCAGAAAAATTGGCTATCAATTCTCATACCTAGTTGCCTAGGTTAATATGCATTTTAGAGTCAACTCCCAATTTATGGATTTTGTTCGTTCTACTATAAACTTAATACTAATTCCGAAAATGACATTGTTTCCCTCAAAAAGCACCAAAAAAGCCCATAAAACAAAAGATACCCTCACCAAAACAAAAGCAAATCCACCAAAAAAGTGATGTGCTTCGCGACTTGAGAAAATAGTTCTGTATATTTTCGTAATTTGCAATGGTTTCCGCGCCTTAAAAAATGCTTTAAAGGTATTTTATTGTTTATTAAGATCGTAGGAATGGTTTAAATACCCCCGCCGCAGCAAACCTGCAGACTAAGCGAATTTCCATTTGACTGATTGGATTTACACTGAAATGTCTACTTAAAAATATAACATTTATTCTTGATTTAAATAGAATTAGTTTAACAAGTACTTAGGTTTGCTGCATCAGGGAGGGTAAAACTGTTTTTTTTGTTTTTTTTTGTAAAATGTGAATAGTTAGTAAGAAATAAAAACTTTTCCAAATTTGATCAAAATATGTTCACAAACAAGCAAACTACAACAGTTTACTTATTCTCCATAAGAATAACATGGGAATTTTAAATGTACAATTTTTTGGTATTTTCTCCGTAACCATTAGGCGCATAATAACGCTTCAATATACTAAATAATTTGTTTTTTAAGCTCTACAAAATGGTTTGGAAAGAAATTGCTAAATTTTATGTTTTTTGGGTCAAAAATGGGAAAAACCTATTTTTACCCCATAAAACCCCCCGTAAACCCCCGTTCCCATGGTCCGATCATGCTGGATCGCGAACTCGTTTGAATAAACGTACGTTTACACGTTTGAACCAAATTTCATCAAAATCGGATAATTTTTGCTCGAGTTATCGTGCTGACGGACACATATATATATATATATATAAATATATAAATATAAATATATATATATATATATATATATGAATTTGAACGGTTGGTGTTTTTGGCCTCTAGGGACCTCAAAACGAAAAAAAAATCGGTCCCGCGTCCAGGTCTTACCATGAGTACTACGGTAATAGCTTATTCCCTATATGGGAAATTCGCTAAAACATTTAAAATCCAGAAAGTTCATATTTACAGGCCTAGGCCCTAACTAACTTAATAATATTCCCAAAGAAACTGGATCAATACAATCTGAGACTTATTTAAATAAGCTGAGGACACTGGCGCACATGTGGGACTGAAGTTTATTGGAATGGCCCTGACGGTGCACATTTGGGACGGGGGTTTTGGAGTGAGTTGTTGTGGCGCATTGGCGCATAGGACGGCGGGCTAGGCCTAGGCCCTATATCTATGTAATTTTTTACATATCGGTAGCAAATGTGTTAAATGGGCTACCCTAATATCAATTGAAACTATCGATTGAACGGTACTTATTTAGGACACAGACCCCAGCTTAAACGTTCTAAAATAACTTTTAAACTATTCTAGGACATCAATACTACAACTTTATTAAAGAATTTTTTGGCGCCGAGACCCCCTTTTATTTTTAATTAAATATTTAAACAATAATCCCAACTCACTAGGGGGCCGGTGGGAATTCGGGGTTTTGGGTGGGGGAGATAAAACGTGGTTAATTATGGGGAGAAAAGGGTAATTCAACGGGTAAAAGGGTAATTTATAGGTAATTACCCAGCAAGAATGGGAAATTCGTCTGTATAAATGGGTACTTTCCTTTGCCGCCGTTAAAATCCGAAAATCGGCTTAAAAAATATTTAAACAGGTCAATAAAAGTGGTGTAACATCTATCCCCTGTGTGAATAGCCTTAACGATATCCTCTAAAAACGTGAAGTTAAGTTTTCAGTCTTCTTTTGTTTGAATATTTATAGTTTTATTTATTCAAGTTCTTAAAAAAACGTACACCGATTGTGGGTGCATTTTTACATTCAAAACACCAATAAAATATATAAACATATCATAACCTATTTCCATGTTTGTTTACATTGAAAATAAAAATATTTCGATATATCGAACCGAATCTGTATCGATATTTCTGCAGACATATGTAACGAATACATAGAGAAAACAAACACCTCAAGGAGTATGGAATTAATAATTAAATAAACATATCTCTGGAATTAACCAACACAAGTTGTTAGTCGTTTTTTGGCTTACAGTAGTTCATGTTGGTGACATTGGGTGCACTGGTGTCTACTATCTGATTTATTAATAGATTTCTTTATTTATTGGCAAATATTTACATTGGGATAATCAGTTCTTATTTAGGCATGTGAGGAAGGTAGGTCGGGTTTTATGCGGATTCGTGACTGTATTAAGTCCTTTGAAGTGAGGTTAGATTAGGTAAGTTAAAGGTTAGGTTATAATGAACCGACTCATTAATTTATGCAACTTCCAGACTGTTTTTGCACAATTAAAATAGTGGGTGAAACACAATGAAATAACAATATCAAAAATGCGCAAGCTTACCTAATCTAACCTCACTTCAAAGGACTTAATACAGTCACGAATCCGCATAAAGTCCGACCTATCTTCCTCACATGCCTTTTCTGACATTAACTGCTATTTAAACATTAATATTAAGGTTGGGTTGGGTTAGGTTAGGTTAGATTAGATTAGATTATGTAACATCATTTGTTATTTAATTTCATGGTTTGTACTTTACTGTTTGGTTGTATATCTAGCTAACGAGTTCTCTTATAAAACCGATTTATGAAATCATCAGCCAGTTTGGTTGGTTTGGTTAGTTTAGAACGGTTTAATTTCATAATCAACGGTAATTTTTTTCTCAAAAAGTGAGTGTTCATAAGATCTACATGTTAAAATCTTAACTGCTGTACTTTGCTATTAAAAACGGGGTTTTACGAGAAATACAGAGGGAATTCAGGTTAAATTGAGGGAATTCTAGGGGTAATTGTGGTACAGTGACCTGTCACTGCAACTGCATTGCTATTGTTTTGGTTTGTGGTAAAACAGATCAACAGATGATGTAATTGTACAGATTTCTGATTGGCAGATTATTTCTGTCGTGTAGTAATCTGATTGGCTGGTGGTTTCGTTGTTAGTTGTTTGTTTTGAACCGTCTCCATGACTCCATGTTGTTAGTTCAAAGTGAAGTAGTGACCAAGGAGGACGTAGCTCAAATTTGTGTTTAATTTTCATTCTTATTGTGTCGGAAAATCGCGTTCGGACATTATGTAGAAAACGGGGTGATTCCTAGTGAAATATGTGGAAACCTATCATTATGTATTTGTTGGACTAAGTGATTTAAATTTTCGTTGTAGGCTAGTTGCTGGTTGGCTATCGGCAAACCAAAGACATGGTGCTCTCCGTGCGTGCCGGTTTTGGTTATTTTTGACGAGTGAGACGGCAGTAAATTATATGTCGAGTGCATATTCCTTGTGCATTTTTCACGGCGATATAGTGAATCCAACATTCTTGAAGTGTGGAATTGTGTAAAATTGGTGTATATTGAGGTTTTGGAGGAACTGTTGTTAGGGTCGGTTTTATTAAATTCCAGTCAATATTTAGGACTGGAATTGCTTTTCCCCCAATTATTATCCTCCAAAACTTCATTTTATACACTTTTTACACAATTTCACACTTCAGAAAGTGTTTTTAAGCTGGGGTCTGGGTCCTAAATTTTTACCGATTGAACATATTGGTAATTCTGAGCAATTAACCTACTTATATGCATTAACCTTCTGCAGTTTATGCAGCAATTAACCTTCTGAGTTATGAATTAACCTACCCTGCCTTGTGGGGCTTGAATTATGTTTCTTACGTTATGAATTAACCTATTCTAACCTAACATAACGGTACTGTCACAACTGGCCTTCCGCACGTCTCCCACAAGCTACTGTTATCGCGTGTATTTTGAACCTTCTTGTCGCTCGGCAACCAATACGATGGCCTTGCAGGGCTTGAATTAACTTAAGTTATATTTTTCTTCTTTTCTGAAAACATCCATATGACCGTAGTAAAATATGAAAAAGTTTGGGGTTGACCAAGTAATTGCTCAGAATTACCAAATAGGCTATAATTGATGAATAATTTTTCCTATAGGCCTATCAATTATAAAATTAAACTGTCATAACATAACCAAACTTGCTGATATTGAAAAAATCAAATGAAGGTTTACTATTTGAATCGATCGATATTAGGGTGGCTGCACTTTACTTTACGTCCAACACTCATTCCAATGAAAATATCAATTGATATATTGATTATCTACATATAAAGCCAAAAGTAGGCTACCCATGAACTTTTGAGAAAACTACAAGTCACACCCCCATAAACCATATACCATATATAATGTTCGTCATGAAGAGAAACCGTGCGCAAAATTATCCATTATTTCATAAATTGCCCTATAAGGTCGTAATTGCTTTCCAAAGGGAACTTTCCATTTACCTAATGTTAAAAATAGGGTCATTCCATATCAAATCAACAAGGCTCTCAACCTGACCATCTTGGATTTTGATGAAATTTTGCATACTTGTAGTATTTTGAGTCCTGAATCCAAATATGCTTTTTAAAAAAATCTATTTTTTATAGTTTTTATGATATAAATATTTGAAAATGGTAAAAATTGGCGTTTTTTACTGTGCGCGCAAATCTAAAATGTTGTCTAGGATGAGTTCTATTGGTCCTATCAAGTTGTACAATGGCTCATTTTAAAGAGGATTCAAATGCCTTTAATCTGATACCAAACTCAACCTACTTTGGTAAAAATTAATTTTTTTTGAAAACTTCAAAATATGTTTCTGAAAAAAAATTTAAGATAGTGTTTTTTGAAAATTTTGAAAATTACATATGTTAAAGAATGTAATCTAGTAAGTACATTATACAAATTTCAAAATGGGATGATAATGGGATCAGCAGTTATGATAAAAATACTTGACTATGGTTCACTGTTTCCAAGCGTACGTACTAACCTAAATGAATCATTTAATAAGAGTCTATTAACTATATGATTAAAATTAAAAATATCTGCCTATATTTGAACTATGTATGTCATATTTTGCTATAATATAAACTAAATCTAGCAAATAAACAACATTATTCAAGTTAACAGAGTTTCCGTCAACCTTTGAACATGGGGGCTACTTTGAACAAACTTTCCACTTTTCATATTTTATTTTTTTCATATTAATTTTATCTTTAAATGATAATGTTTATTATAATTTTCTATTCCCAGATAAATACTCTACTTAAAAAAATATTTAATAGTGCATACTATGGTTCTGCAAAAAATTTGTCCATTGGTTCTGGTTTCAACAATTTGTCCATTTTCAGGGAGAGTCACACAAACCATAAGTATAACACTAGACATAAGAACCTAATTAAGCCCACTAGCCATAGATTATCACTATTTGAAGCATCACCTCAATATATTGGACCGAAATTGTACAACTTAATTCCTGATAATTTAAAAAACATTACCAATCCAAATAAATTTAAAAAAGAATGTAAAAACTGGTTGCTAACCAAAACGTTTTATTCTTTAAATGAATTTTTAAGTGGAAATTGGTAGGATGTTAAGTATTAAAACTATTTTGTTTTAAATTGAATATTATTATTTAGCTTTAAGTATTATAATGTAATTGACAAATGTCCTGTCATTTTGTGATGTAATGACATTCTGTAAATAAATAAATAAATAAATAAATTAAAAATACTTATTTTTCACTGACATTTTTTAGTAAAAAAAAGTCGTCCAAACTTCCATGTCTACAGCAAACCCAGTAAGTTTATGATTTATGACTTAAAACCATAATTGAATAGCCCATTTATCTGGGATTAAGAAAATACCTGCTTTGATTTCTTTATAAGCAGTAATAACTTTAAAAAAAGAAAGAAAAAATTACCCAATTTGCTGACCCTTACTTATGGCGTCGCGACCCTTAGATCTGGAGCAAAATTTCCCGGACATGAAAAAGAAATACTTGGGTTTTAAGTGTTATTTTTGAAAATGATTTTTCTAATGAAAACAGATGTTTTGAGCTTTAGTTATTATTAGCAGCCATAATCCAATTCCTTTATTTGACTGCTATGATATTTAAAAATACCCTTGCAAAATTAAAAAATAACCGGACGGACATTTTGAAAATTCTCCGTAACTTTTTTTAATTTTTGACATATCAAAATAGAAGTTATACAGCAATGTGGTATGTGGTTTGTGGTATTTAAATCCACAAATCAGTTTTCACTAAAAAAATGTAATTGTTAAAGTGAGAATACATTATTTATACTTATGAGCAGACATTTCCCCAAAACTAAATAATTAGGCTATCATGGAATATTATCTATGTATCAATAATAAGGTTACTACAGGATTTATATAGATTGATCACAGTATATTGTGTGACAAAATTATCAATGCTTGTTTGTCTCTCTCTCTTGTCACGAGAGGAAAGACAGACAAACATGGACCTATGGGTTTTGGCTCAGGTTCCTGAGTATTTTCCAGTTGTATTGCAACGATTTACTGTAATTAATCTTTAAGTCTGCCTTTTCACTAGGCTGGAGACACTAGTCAGCCACTAGATCTGTGCAAAACCACATTGTGAAGCACTTTACGTTTACACTATCAGGTCGCAGCGACCCACCTCGGCAGTAGCGACCCGGTCTTGAGCAGTTGTAATTTGTTTGACAGGTACACAGGTCTAACTTATGTTTGTCAGTCTTTCCTCTTGTCTCAAGACCGAGTCGCTACAGCCGAGATGGGTCGCTGCAACCTGATAGTGTAAACGTAAAGTGCTTCACAATGTGATTTTGCACAGATCTAGTGGCTGACTAGTCTCCAGCCTAGTGAAAAGGCAGACTTAAAGATTGATTACAGTAAATCGTTGCAACACAACTAACTGGAAAAGACTGAGGAACCTGAACCAAAACAAATTGGTCCATATTTGTTCAAAGGTTGACGGAAACTCTGTTAACTTGAATAATGATGTTTACTTGCTTTATTTAGTTTATATATAGCAAAATATGACATACATAATTCAAATATAGGCAGATATTTTTAATTTTAATCATATAATTAATAGACTCTTATTTAATGATACATTTAGGTTAGTACTTACACGCTGTATGCGCCGAAATGCTTGGAAACAGTGAACCATAGTCAAGTATTTTTATCATAACTGCTGATCCCATTATCATCCCATTTTGAAATTTTTATAATGTACTTACCGGTACTAGATTACATTCTTTAACATATGTAATTTTCAAATTTTTCAAAAAACACTATCTAAAATTTTTTTTCAAAAACATATTTTGAAATTTTCAAAAAAAATTAATTTTTACCAAAGTAGGTTGAGTTTGGTATCAGATTAAAGGCACTTGAATCCTCTTTAAAATGAGCCATTGTACAACTTGATAGGATTAATAGAACTCATCCTAGACAACATTTTAGATTTGCGCGCACGGTAAAAAACGCCAATTTTTACCATTTTCAAATATTTATATCATAAAAACTATAAAAGATAGATTTTTTTAAAAAGCATATTTGGATTCAGGACTCAAAATACTACAAGTATGCAAAATTTCATCAAAATCTAAGATGGTCAGGTTGAAAATAATTTTTTATTGGTTGATTTCATATGGAATGACCCAATACCTCGGCTGTTATTATTTGTTCGTATTACCATCGCTGTATTCTGTTTTGTTTATTTTATCTTAACTTAACCAATCAATAGTTTTATTAATACTAATGTAGTAAAACGGGGTGGAGCAGCCCGTGGGTAACAGCTAGTTCGATATAGGTTACCTGTCATTTGATTAGTTAGGTAAGGTTAACCCAACCTTAACTAACCAAACGATATATCGAATGAAACAATCAATAAATCAATATTTTCATTTGGTTGTTTCATTCGAATGAGTGTAGGACGTAAAGTAAAGTGCAGCCGTGTGAGTACCCTAGCATATTGGTGTCAATTTTCAAGTCTGCCTGTAAGAAAAAAGGGACTAGGCCTAGGCCTTAAGATAAGCCTTAGTTAAAATCATTATTTAAAATAAATCTGATTGAATTCGATCTTTTTAGTCCAGGCCTTAACTGAGAAAGGTATTTAAAACAGTAATTTTAAGTAGCCTATGTCAAGTACTTACAAAAAATATTGCACAATACTGAAACAGAACTTCAAACTTCAGTTCAGACTTCAGGTTCAGGTTTGGTTTGGTTTTGTTTTAGGTTTTAGTTTTTAGTTAGGCTAGGTCTACGTCTACGTCCTTGTCCTACTACGACGACTCCCTCTACTCTAGTCTAGTCTAGTACTCACTAGCACTACTAGAACGTAACGTGCAACCATTAACCAGTGTTTCCAACCTGGACTGGACCTTTGACAATTCCCCAACTGACTAAGAAAAAATCCCCATTTTATCCCCAGCTAAAGCAAAAATCCTCCAATAATCCGCCAAGTCATAAAAATCTATAGAAAGTCCCCAATTTTCCTCCATCCATCATCCAAATTCTACAAAAATCCCATTTAACTACCAAGTATCCCGAATTCATACTTATCTAGGTAATAGTGTGTGGGTAAATATTCACTTTTCGTGATTATATTGCACTATGACATACATAGATTATTTATTCACTCCATATTAAATGTGCTGACGAGGGAAAATCCCCATTTTATCCCCAGGACACCAGCTAAATAAAAAATCCTCCAATTTTCCGCCAAGCCATAAAAATCTAAAGAAAATCCCCAACTCTCCTCCATCCAACCGGCAAATTCTATAAAAATCCCCTTTTAATTACCGGTACCATGGTACCAATGAATCAATCCAGGCAAATGGAAATTAGCTTAGTCGGCAGGTTTAATGCAGCGGGGGTATTTTACCACTTTTACGAGGTTATAACAGATTCTTTACCTTAGATTCTTTATTTTAGATTTCTATGGGCGCACGGGTATTGAAAGCTGTACACAATTTACTGTATTAGAGCTAAGACCATGGTATGAATATAATAAGGACTGTTAATACTGTTCAATGAAATGGCGACCATACAAAGTATAGGTATTTTAAGCCACGTATGAATGGGGAATTTCCCCCTTCAAATCGATTTCCCCCCTTATATCTATCCTATAGCCACCATAGGTGTTTCGGTCTTAGTCACGTTTATTCACTTCTAGATTAGCTGGAGATCTGGATGGCTTGTTTGTAGGTCTTGCGTCTCTGTCGAAAAGTGGCATTTTACAATATTAAAACTCCCCACTGAAATATCGAATACCCCCACCCTTGTCATTATTATGGGGACTAACCTTGAAAGTGGCCGACTTTGGTATGTGGATCTAAACGTTTAGAATCGTGCTAAGGATTTACAACTTTACAATAGTGTACAAAATTACCAAAAAAAGTTTTAACCCCCCTCCCGAAATCCAAAATGATGGACATCTGAAAACCACACAATTAACACGTTTTTTTAACTGCAATAACTTAAAGCCCCCTATTTAATATGAATTTCCTATTTAATAAACCCCATATATTAAAGGCATTTAGATTTTTTTGTATATGCAACCCCCTTTAACAATTGAAACCCCTCCAAATAGTTCTAGAACCAATGCCTTTCATCGTGGTAAACATTTGAAATCTTTCTCAGTTACAAGTCTTCGTTTTAAAACCAAGGAATGATTTATAAAAGTGTATACAATTTACGACCTTTCCCCCAAATCAACCCCCCCCCCCCCCCCCGACTCTAATTTTTCTTTATCAAAAACACATTATTTGCATTAGACTACAGTGCTTAGTATTTTACCAACTTCTTGTTATTGTATTATTTTACTCAGTAACAGATTTTCTCCGGGGATATTTCCAACAATCCCCCAACCACCCCCAGCGAACCAAAGGCGAGTTTATATGGCTTGAACACTTTTTTGAAGTATGAAGCAAGACATCTGCTTTCTCGAGATGTTGTTTTTGGCCCAAGAACCGTTTTCTTTTAGAATAGGTGGAATGCAATTTTGTGGACGTTTTATGTTTTTTGTAAGCCCCCCCACACACTACCAGACCAGACCGTCTGGTCTGGCGTCTGGCACTTGTCTTACGTGTGTGGGACTGTCTGCAGACCGATTTTCTCGGACCAGACTGTCTGCGTGTCTGATGGTTAAACCCTCAGACCACAGAGGTGAGGTTCACCCACCACTTTTTTTTGTCTGGTCTGTGAGTGTGTAGCGCTGTCTGTCAGACGACCAACCGTCGCGACAGTATTCATCCATTTGTTGGAGTTCTCACCACGGTGTCTCAATTACGAATGTTGGAATGTCTGGTCTGGGAGTGTGTAGAGCCGTCCAAGACGGTCTGGTTGCAGCCAGACGGTCTGGTCTAGAGGTCTGGTCTGGTAGTGTGTGGGGGGCTTACTGTCCAAAGGGAGTAGTCACCAGCTTCAGATGGAGAAAGGTTTGATGAGAAGTCTTGAAATCTGTCATTGTTTACTTTAAACAGTAACCTTTTCAGCTGTTGAGTGGCCCTGTTAGATTTCTTTTATCCGTCTGATCTCTAGAGTTTTGCCATATACCGTATTTTACGGAGTTGGCGTTTTTCGACAATTTTTCTATTCATTTCAATTGGATGCTTATTCCTGATTTGATATGACTTTTATTCTTGTCTGGAATTGCTCTCCAAGCAGAATCTTGAAATTTTTGTTTTTTAGCGAATTTCCCTATAGGGAAGTAGCTATTACCGTAGGTGGCACGGTAAGACCTAGACCCGGGACCGATTTACTTTTTCATTTTGATGTCCCCAGAGGCCAAAAACACCATTCGTTCAAATTTTTATATATGTATATATATATATATATAGACTTATATATATATATATATATATATATATATATATATATATACGTCCGTGAACGCGATAACTTGAGTAATTTTTGTCCGATTTTGATGAAATTTGGTTTCCTTTTGTAAAGCGGGATAAACTTGAATGAGTTCGCGAACCAGCACGATCGGACCATGGGAACGGGGCTTTACGGGGGGTTTTATGGGGTAAAAATTGGTTTTTCTCACTTTTGACCCTCAAAACACAAAATTTCCCGATTTCTCTTTAGACCTTTTTAAAGAGCTTAAAAAAACAAATAATTTAGTATATAAAAGTATTTTTGTTCGATTATTAGTAAACAAAGAAAATTAAAAAATTGTAAATTTAAAATTCCCATGTTATTCTTATGGAGAATAATGTCAAATCTTGTAGTTTGCTTGTTTATGGATATATTTTGATCACACTTGGCAAATTTTTTAATTTGTACTAAGCTATCAATATTTTACTCAAAAACACACTTTATTATTTTCCTTGTAGCAGCAAACCTAGGTACTCGTTAAACCTAATGTTATTAAAATATATTTAACTGAAAATCAATTCAGACAAATGGAAATTCGCTTAGTCGGCAGGTTTGCTGCGGCGGGGGTATTTTTATAATAGCAAGATTCAAATCGTCTTCGCTCTTTAAACACAATTAAAGAAATATTTAAATTTGTATCCATTAATTCCGAAAATAATTCCAATCTGTATTTGTTTTGCATAAATGTGGTGGAATAGGTTTGAATATAACAGTCGAAGCAATCGTTAAAATTACAGGTGAGTGGTATCATAGACGACATAGGTAACATATCATTAAGTAACATAATGTTGATGTCTTATCTATGGTGGTATGACCAAAGGTCCAGAGATTGCTCGATTGTCACACAATCTCGGGAGCACAATTTGTTTTTCAGGATTAGTTTTGCCAACAGTGTCATTTGGAGGATTCTGATTGACTATAATGAAGGTTTACTAATTGAAAAATTAGTTTTGTTCATAAAATAAAATTATAAATGCCTCAAATTCAATTTTATAATTTTTTCTTATGAAATTAAACCGTCATAACCTAACCAAACCAACCAAACGTGCTGATGATGAAAAAAATCTAATGAAGGTTTTATTAATCGAAAAAATAGCTATGTTCATAAAATAAAATTACAAATGCCTCAAATTCAATTTTATAATTTTTTAATTATAAAATTAGACTGTTATAACGTAACCAAACTATCCAGACTTGCTGGTAATGAAAAATCGAATGAAAGGTTTAATCGAAAAAATAGTTCTGTTCATAAAATAAAACTATAAAATGGCTTAAATTCAATTTTATAATGTTTTAATTATAAAATTAAACTGTCATAACCTAACCAAACCAACCAAACTTGCTGATAATGAAAAAAATCCAAGTTAAAAAATTAGTGCCCCGGGTAGGATTTGAACCAGGCTCCTTCAGTTTATCAGCCCGGCACTCCATCCTCTATACCACCGAGGCCGATGTCATCACACCCGTATCGTTGCGGTAATGGTGTTCCCTCAGCCAATCAGAAGCCTCAAAATAACACTGTTGGCAATTCTGAAATAAAAATTCAGCTCTCGGCATACACCTTTCGTAACGAAAAAAATCAAGAAGGTCTGGTATTTTTTGACAACCAGAGGCAGAGGGTAAATAAAATAAAATTTTATTTTAATTACAAACTACACGTTTTGACAGTAACAGCGATAGAGATCACAATTTGCCACGAACGGTTAGTATTGCATGGTATGAGCATTTGAGTGGCCGCGCATAATAAGGCTCTATGATGCGTTTGGCACGGCAGCGCGGTGGTTTTCTCAAATCAAATTTCAAATTTCTGTCGGTCTCGTATACTGTTCACTGTCGTGTCGTAACACTGAGCTAAAATTATAATTATAACATTTTTAGAATTATAGCTCAGCGTGTACAGTTGTCAGTTGTACCATAGATAAAACATACTCCGTTGTACCATAGATAAAACATACATGGTTGTACCATAGACTAACCAACACAAGTTTTATCTATGGTTAGTCTATAGTTGTACCAACCACGGCGGTACGATGTCATAGCTTATAATGTCATAGCTTATAATTTCGAATTTGTTGCATAGCTTATAATCTTGAAAATGTGGCATAGCTTATAATGGAAAATTTAAATTGTTCCATAGCTTATAATCGTAGAAATGAGGCATAGCTTATAACGGTTTTCTTAAAATGTGGCATAACTTATAATGGCATAGCTCAAATGTGCTGCAGCTTATAAAATCTCGTTTGTTCTATAGCTTATAATTTTAAAAACGTGGCATAGCTTATAACGCGCGGGAATTACGTCATAGCGGATGGGACAGCTGATCGATCCTGAGTAGACAAAAAAATTATCGTGCAATGGTCCTCAAATTATCGTATCGACTAGCAGCCGCTACTTGGCAATAAGAAGTC